CTGACCTTTCCTTTGCAATTCAGTGTAGTAGGACACTGAAACTGACACTATTTGTTAATGGCAACCAAGACCCCCTTGAATCAAGTCAGGTGAAATATCTCTGTCGAGAACTGACAGAACTTTGAAATAAAGTGAATCATTTATTGGATAGCTTGGAATCACTGGGACCTTCCACCAGTATTCCTGAAAATGATACTGTGGATGGTAGGGAAGAAAAGCCTGCTTCTTTGGATTCTTCTGGAAAACAGTATATTCAGGTTATGGCAGCAAGTATGTCCATTTTTGACCCTTTAAAAAAACCAAGATGAAATAAAAAATAATGTTACGTCGGCGTCTGGCTTAACAGATGATCAGGTTTCAGGGCAACCCAGTGCTCTTGTAGAAGACTGTTCAGGAACACCTGATAGCATTGCCGCCGCCTCCTCAGCAGCAGCTCACCCACCAGGAGTTCAGCCACAGCAACCACCATATGCAGAAGCTAAAATACAAGCAGGTCAGACTGAAAGTCAGCTGTACCAACAGTACCAGCAACAGGCTGGCTATGGTCACAGCGGCTACAGGCTCCACCTCAGCAGCCTCAACAGTATGGGATTCAGTATTCAACAAGCCAGAGTCAGCAGAATGGACCCTAAACAACCTCAGCAGTTCCAAGGATATGGCCAACAACCAACCACCTAGGCACCAGCTCCTGCCTTTCTGGTCAGCCTCAACAACTGCCTGCTCAGCCGCCACACAGTACCAGGCAAGCAATTATCCTGCACAAACTTCCCAAACTTCTCAGCCTACTAATTACACTGTGGCCCCCGCCTCTCAACCTAGAATGGCTCCAAGCCAACCTGGGGCCTGGGCCTATCAACCAAGACCAGGTTTTACTTCACTTCCTGTAAGTAGCATGACCCTTCCTCCAAGTGGGCCTAATCCTTATATGTCCTCTCTTTGGTCTGGGCTATACCCAACCTCGACCTGGTTATCAATAAGGAGGCTCATCTACACCAATGAATGTAGCTGCTGGCTACTGGCCTCCCAAAAGACTCCAAAATACGTTTTAATCTGTAATGAAGTTCAGAAATTTTCAAAGCAGAGCATTTTTTATGATATCTTTGTTGCTGTTAATTGAAAGTATAATTTGCTGGAACACAAAGACCAAAATCAAAGTTCTTCCTCCTTGCTTAAAAATATCGCATCTTCTTAGTTATTTTGGAACACTACTCTTACATGTGTGTAAAGTGATTGACTTTCTAGCTTCCCTTGTACAGAGGATATTAAAATGCCAGTGTCAGGTTTAGTCATCTTACTTGGCTTTCTGCTATTAACATGATGTACTAAAGTAGAGACCTTTGAGAATACGACTAGATGTTATGTATAAAATGTAAGACTGATAGATTAATATAGATGATTGAATCAAAAAAACAGGGAAGTATAAGGCTTCCTTGTATTTATATTACTTTTATTATTCATATTATTCCTGGCTTTAAAAGTCAGGAAAAGCAGACTGTTACTTAATCATTACTCAAGTTTAGAAATTAAAGGATTCCCAAACATTTACATAATCTCTTCCTTGAGCTCCCCATCATTCACTTCAAAGCGAAGAATTTAACATTGATGAAAAACAATCTGTATATTTATCATTTCAGAACTGAGTGACTCAACTGGCTAAGTTCTCCATTTTGCAACTAATCTCATGAGTTTCTTGTAACCCAGGTACTACCCTTATACTGACCAGTTGATCAATTCCAAGCTACCAGTAACCATGTGAAATGTCCAAAAGAAATCCTCACTCCTGCAAACACGTCCCAAGATTATCCCTATAATGAATCCAGTTCTAGGGCCTTTTCAGCACTTCAAATCAAATGTAGGGCAAGAGAGGGAAAGGAGCTTATATAAGACAGGATCCAACATGAGAATTTGAAAAGCCTAACACTAATTACTCATCTTATTACCTCTTCACTTGCCGTCCTCCCACACTTTATCCAAGGCTGACACTTAACTAATACCATTCTCTAGCACCTCTGACTTCTTCCTGGACCTCTCCTAACCTGATCTCTCTAGCTACCATACTATGTTTTTACTACCTTTCAATCCAATTCACAAATCAGAGAGGCAATATGTTATCTCTGTTATCTTTTCAAACATCCATGGCCTAATTCCCTGGCAGCCAATCTTCCATCCAGGTTACTTACGAACTAATCACAATTTATATCCAAAAGTTATCTCTCAATTTTCTTGACCTCCCCATCATGAGCTACCACTGACCATTGAATCCATATGAAAGCTCTCTCCTCTGGCTGTCCTCTGTAACTCTCTTCTATCCCAAATGTCTTCCTCTTTCCTTCTCTACCTTAAGTTCCCTGACTATAGGTTTTCTCCAAGTTTCAGATTTTGATTTTTACTTCTTTCTCTATACTCTAGCAGCTCAGGTTGCAACTCTTTTATCACCAGCTTTGACTGGTTCCTAAACAGTAATGTGTTCCCACTTCCTATCAGACATTTCTCCCTGCATTCATTCACTAAGCATTCACCAAGTATCCATCATATGCTATTTAGTGTGTTAAATGTTGAGGATATAGAGATCAATAAGGTCTACAAAGATCATCTCTGCCTTCAAGGAACAAAGACAAGTAAACAAAAATGTCTAAAACAATGTGATCAAGGTGGTAATTCTCACACAGATGTACAGAGGGAAAAAAATATCAAAATGATATATGGTAACAATGCTTTCCTATATTGATCTTGCACACATTATTTCAATTAAGTCTCATAATAATGCTAGGAGATGTAAAAGGTAAGATTCCTTAATAATTTAATACCAGATCGCACAACTAGTAAGTAACTAATTCAGGATTTGAGGTCAAATTTGTCTGGGCCAAAACCTACGTTTCTTCTTCTATGCCCAGTGAAAAGAAATCTAGACCTGATAAGTCAGGAGAGAATTCTGTTAAGAACATCTATTTAAGATCAATCAGTATTTCACGAGAGTGTTTAAAGGCACAGTCAAGAAGACATCACTCAGGGAAATGACTAGCTTGGGACAGAACTTACAACCTGCATGTCCCCAAAACCCTCAAACTCAATCTAAAAACAAGCTCACCATCTTCTTCAAAGAAGTACTGTACTGTATTTCATTACAGACACACCTGGTGTTCTAATTTTTTAATTTCAGAAATTGCGATGCAGACATCATAGTGTGTCACAGTTAATTGGCAGTATTGTTTCTTTTCTTAGTGGAACATAAAATAATGGTGCCTCAGAATTTCTGGCTTCTTAGATTTGATAACAAATGGTAACTTTTTCCTAAACTTAATCCCCAAATTTAAATTCTTTGAATCACCAAGATCTATTTTTTCCCATAGTATCTGTTCTAATCATTCATTATTTTCCATTTTCCCTGCCACCAATCTGGTTTAAGGTAGTATCAATTGTGCATAGATTAAATACTCTCCTCACTGGTCTCCCTGAATCAGTTTTCCCTTATTCTAAATACTCAAATACAGCACTATGGATCAGTCTTTTAAAACCACCACTGTATGCATGCCACTCTCTCTCTCTCAAATTGGTTCTGCACTGCATATAAGGGAGATTCCAATCTAGTTTCAAAGACTTCCATAAACTGGCCTAAGCTGACCTTCACATAGTTTCTTTGCTACTAATCAATAATAGCCTTCTACTCTAATCAAGCTCTTCTATTTATGGTCTCTTCAAATGCTCTAACCTCTGTCTATTAACCTCATGATTCTACCCATCTGAAATTTACCCAACTCTTATACTATTCAAATCAAATGTCAAGGCTCAACTCAAGCTTCATAACCTCCATGAAATATCCCTCAATCATTCCAAGCCACTTCTTTCTTCTGAAGTTCTATAACATGTGCTCCCTTGAATATTGTTGTATTTAACTTTTCATGGGAGTTTATGTCTTATTTCCACAATGAAATTAAAAGGATCAAAGGCAGAGACTATGTTTAACAATTATGCAGCATAGTTTAGTGGTTAATTACACAAATTCTGGGGCCAAACTACATAGGTTTGACTCTCAGCTCTGCCATCTTTCTGTGTGACCTTGGGCAAGTTACTTAACTTCTCTGTTTCAGTTTCCTCATTTTGTAAAATGGAGTCAATAACAGTATATACCTCAAAGAGTTGTGAGAATTAAATGGTCGTGTAGGACCTGTTCTTGATACATACTATGCACTCTGTAAGTGTTAATTGCTATAAATTCATTAATGGTGATAAGTATCATAAGTGTTAGCTACACTATGTATGTATGTTACATAAGTGTTAGCTATTATTATTGTTATTTAGAATCTCCATGTTCAGCCCGGTGTGGTGGCTCACGCCTGTAATCCCAACACTTTCTGAGGCCGAGGCAGGTGAATCACCTGTGGTCAGGAGTTTGAGACCAGCCTGGCCAACATGGTGAAACTCTGTCTCTACTAAAAATAAAAATTAGCCAAGTGTGGTGGTGGGTGCCTATAATCCCAGCTACTCGGGAGGCTGAGGCAGCAAAATCACTTGAACCTGGGAGGCGGAGGTTGCAGTAAGCCACGATTGCACCTTCCACTCCAGCCTGGGCAACAAGAGTGAGTGAAACTCCATCTCAAAAAAAAAAAAAAAAAAAGAATCTCCATGTTCTTGATACCCAAAATAGTAAGTATATAGCATTTACTCAGTATTTATTTGATGGAGGAAGGAAGAAAAAGTCTTAACATGAGAAGCAGCTTTTTAGGAAAGTGTCCATTTCTGACATTCTGGGGAGCAGGTGAGAAATCTGTCCAGGAATGGCAAAAAATACCTATTATGGGGCCTACAAAGGCTAATCAATCTCAGGAGGAATTAACAGGAAAATGACAGAGAAAGACATTCCATAGGAAGCAAAGCTAGCTGTTCATAAACGTACATTTCATGTACACTCGCATTATACAGTTCTGTAGTAGTTTTGCAGTTTTAACGGCATCAGAGGCACACCAAGCTTTTTGGTGAGTTTAGGTTAGATAGGTACTTACTGAGCATGCCTCTATAATTGAGGTCCATATCCCGGCTCTCAGATCGCACTTTAATGGCATCCAGGATGGCATCAGGAGACAACAGTCCCGAAGGTCTCACAACATTCAGAAGCTCTGTGAGGCTCATGAGAGGTAAACGTACAGCCTGCATGATTTCAGCATGATTCTCCTTTGAATTGTGCTTACACCAGTTTAATAAGGCTAGGAAAATATCTTTTTCGGGAGCTGCAAATGAATCTCTTAACACGATGTTTAAAAGTGCTGTCTGAAAAGGATAAAAAGGTAAAATTCCAGTTATATGACGTTCAACCATTGCATGATCAATCAGTAAAAGCTTACAGAACAAGCATAACTTAGGCAATTAACTCTTTTTGACCCTCTCCTTCCCTTATGCTTTGTGCCACACAGCCTCCAGCTCATTATGGCTATGTAAACAACCAGGATGGTAGCACCTTTCTTTTATGCTCAGGTATCTTGTACCACTACATCAAACATTTAATCTTTCCAAACACATCTGCATTCATCGTTTTTAAAACAGCAAAAAGAAAAACACCAAAGTGAAAAGCTGTCAATACATACAGATTCTTCAAGGGAGTGTACATTGTTAAGTTAGAAAGATATATTTGGCATTTAAAATTCAAAGTATTTTATTGCACAGTATTACTTCACCACCATATTTTTGGCTCTCAGATCTCCAAACTGACCTCCAGCAACAATAGTGCAACCCTCAAAGATCACTGTCTTTAAAAATTCAGTATAAAAAAATGAAATAAGATAACACAGATCTTAATTTACCCTCAAATCAAGATATGTAGCTTTTCAATAGGTTTTCTCATTAGAAATATCCAGGTTCTAGAAGGAACACAACAAGGGAAATGTAGAGACGATCGGCATCCAGAGTTCAAAGGAAGATTTGAGCAAAACAGTTTTACTCTAGCTATAACACTGAATTTTAAGCCAGCAAAGAAAGCAGTGACTTAAAGATATCAAATGATGCATCAGATCTCCTTTATGAATTTGCCTGCTTGCTCTAAGGAATTATTAGTCACACTCTCTGTCAGAGAAAAACAAAACCAAAAGGTAGTATGCAACACCAAAAAGGACCCTATTTGATTGTCACTACATTGAAAACAACCACTCAGCCGCACAGTCTCTTTTGCACATAAAACTTACCAGAAGAACCTTAAAAGAAAACACAACCAACCAGCCCCTCTCTTTTATGATCTAGAGTCCTAGTAGCTAGATGCAAGTGGCTAGACCAGATAATCTCTTTGATACCAATGGTTTTTTTTTAATTATTCTTAGTCCACTGCTATACTTCTATGGTATAGGTATAAAGAAAACAATGCTGCCTATAAATTACTTGTAGACAAATGACACACCTTAGAAAGGGAGAGGAAACCTTCACTTGAGAGCACCTCCTGAGCATTCCTGTCCATAAACATGCAGCACATACAAGTTAACTTGGGAAGTGAGTAGAGACTGGCAACATCAAAAGTCATGCAGACATTCTGAATGTTCAGTATGGTACAGAGATACTCAGAGGTAGAATCCTCTAGCTCTGGAAATCCATATTTATGAGCCAGGCTCAAAAAGTCCAGCAGCACCTCCTCCTTCTCATCTGTCAGCGTTGCCCGCCCAGTGTAGATATATTTGAGTAGCATTGTGAATGCTTCTGCAGTGGTGTCTTGGAGAGGAATTTCTGCTTCAGGCTGAGACTCTCGCATTCCACCATACAATAATGCTCTGCACATCAGGGAAGAAACACATGAAGAAACTCTCAAATAGGATTTGCTACAAAATACTGGAAATAACAGTTATCAACATTATGCAAATATAAATTTGTTTAATGACACAAAGATCCAAGTGAAAAAATGCAAAATAGTCATTTAAAATGGTTCTTTAAAGGAAGCAAAAGGAATGATTTCAAAACTGTTTGAATCAATTCTATAAACCACTGAACTAACGAGATACTCTGAAAGCTCAAGATATGTGATAGATATTAAATAGGAAGATGAGAGTGATCTCTTGAGAGGCACAATGAAGTTGGTATAAAGATGTTAAAGGTCAATAAGGCAGTTTAAAAAGTAAAACTTTGTAGGAAAAGATATAATCAGATAAAGATAAACACTAATATGATGCCATTCTCCCCTGTAAGACTGGCAGAAATCAAGAGGCTTGTTAATATCAGTGCTGCAAAAGCAATGGAAAAACAGGTTCTTTGACACACTGCTTTGAGAGTATAAATGGGCAGCCCTTTATGGAAAGTAATTTAGTAGTATCTAGTCAAACCTAAAATGTGTATACCCTTCAACTCAGTAATCTCTCTTTTAGGACTCAATTCTAGAGAAGTAATACAGTAAAGAAAAATGTTTAAGAAAACATACTGAAACACTAGAAAAAATCTAAATGTCCATCAACAGCAACATGGTTTAAAAAACTGTGATATATGCATTCTATGCAGCCATTAGAAAGATCAAGGGAGACCAATAGGTACTGTTTTGAAAACATGTCCAGAATATGGTAGGCGAGTAAGTAAAATTACAGATCTATACGTACTGCATGAAAAAAGTATATAACCACATATTTACATGTTTATGCATGTATGTCTATACAGATATTTCTTTAAATCAAGAAAAATCAGAGGAAATTCATATTAAACTCTTAACATCACTTACTTCTGGGAAATGGTATTAGATGGCTGGGAGACAAAGACTTTCATCTGTCACTTTATAAATTAAAAATGAAATTACTGATAGGATTACAGTGATTTTTTTTCCTTTCAGATTAAACAAAAAGCCCTACATTATTGCTTATCTAAAAAAAAAAATGAAAACTAGACAATCCAGTTAGGTAATGAATTTGAATTTCTACCTCTATTAATCAAGAGGAACAATATGAACCAATTAAACTTCCAACCTATCAGGAAAGAAAGGACGAAGAGGACAAGGGAGAAGTGCAGAAAAGGGAGAGAAGAATACAGAATGAGAAAGAAAAGAAGCAAAAGTGAGAGGAAGAGACTGGAAGCAAGAAAGAGATTCTCTCTGTTACTAAAATTCTCAGAGGAGGACTAGCATTTCAGGGTTACCTACCTGGAACTTGTCCTACCCTCTCCCAGGACCTAGCATTCTTGCTTGCCCCAGGAAAATAGTTGAAACCACCCAGAAAAGATTCATGAATATTCTGAGCATACCTCTTCACTGGGTTATACTCTGCCTAAAAATGCCCTTGAAGGTTTCCATTAAGCCAGAGAGCATCCAACCATTACCCTAAAATTACCAAATTAAAGAACTTCTCCTTCTTGAGGAGACCTCAAGACTTATCCCCAATCCTGTATGATCCATGGTATTTATCTGGATTCTCAATGCTTTAAAAGTGGTTTTGATGAGGCTCCCTTGGAACAGTAAATATGAACCCCCAACTTCAACAAGGAGACAAGCACAGAGGTTCAATGTTTACTATGAAGAGTTTCTTCCTATAAGTTCCTTATCTGGGAATTGATAGGTTATTATGACAGCACTTAAGCCTCTTCTGACAGCTGACAGTTAACATTCCTTTGCACATGAATACTGTCAGCATTGAGAATCTGTCCAAGGTAGCATTGAGCTTAGCTCTAAGGTAGACTTAGAGGTACAGCTTAGCTCTAAGGTAGTCTAAGGTAGACTCTGAGCTTAGCTTAGTGAACCAGCAAATATTACAAAGGTTCAATATCTACAAAGACATCAAGAACAAGGTCAGTAAGTGGGGGGAGTATATTCCATTCACTCAATACAATCTTCAAATTTCTAAAAGTAGTTGAGTTTCTTTTAAGGATATACTAATCACCTAAAAGAAACCCTCATAGAGTTGTTTCAAATTATTTTTAAAAGAGGACAAGATATACTGTATTAATAAATAATAAACACAGGCCAAGAAGTTCTGACTTAATAAAAAGTGGACTCTTGTAAAACACTTTAATAGTAATGACTGGACTGAAATTTTAAAAGGGGGAAGAAACAGAAAATGAAAAGTGTGCAGAGGACAGATGATAACAAATAATGGCTAGACCAAGGTCAGATGCCTTGGTAGAGTTGACCGCTAGGAAGAATAGGAGAGTGTTACAACTTTTAACAGACTCCTCACTTTTCTAGGCTCCTGGTTTCATCCACATTGGCATTTTACATGTGTAAAACTGGAAGTTCATGAAAAACCATAGGAGCTCTAGCTACACAGTAAATATTTCCAGGAGACACACTTTACCACAACGTGTCTGACTCTAAGTGTTGCTGTCTTGATTAATTCTGATTATAAAAGCCAGACTGCAGTTATCACTAGAAGGTAACTGAAATTTTCTCTAAGCCAATGGAATCTCCATTTCAGATACCAAGTTTTCCAGATAAATCTATAACTCTGTGGAACATCTTTATCCTTAAAAATAGAAAAAGATCCATTATCACGCACAAATTATAACTCACTCAGTAATTCAGTGATGACTCCCTTTTAACAAATATTAGGTAAAATGCAGAGTACTTAAAGATCAGCTTAAGATTTATAACCCTGGAAATTAAGGACCCAAGTGACCAACAACAGCTGCATACAAGTACACGTCTTAGATCTGCTGGGTTACTAACAGGTCCTAGACCTCAGGAGTCCCAAACCAAGTGGTATATGTGTCCATTAGCAGGTCCACAAGGCAGTCGACCTATACAAAAGAAGCTTTAGTCCCATTAGCCATCTATTGGGAGGAGAAAGTGAAGGTAACGAAGACTCAGCCTGAGAAACATTCTTGACACCTTGAAAAATGGTTGATTGGGCACTATCTGGTTTGGGAAACCTTCCAACCCTTTCATTTTAAGATGGCTCCTAAAGGAAAAGGTGATTCTCAAAAAATAACAAAGTCTACAAGGATGAAACCTTTATAGATACTGAATTGAGGGACTGCGAGAATTTGTCATTATACTTGGTTATGTATTTTTCACAGAGCAGAAAATGCCAGTGTTTTCTACAAGTGAACTGAATTTTCAAAAAAAGTATTACACACTTACCGAAAATATTGGCACCTGGCTGCTAAAATTACCCTGTGGGCAGGAAAACGTTTCTTTTCCACAACAAATGTGACGTCGCCATATTCTTCCCCAATCAACAAGGCACCAATATGTTCAGACAAAATGTGCACATGATCAATTTCCCCCACTGCAGTGAAGGGGCGAAGAGGGTGGCTGTTACTCATCTTGTGGAACAGATGATAGTCGCTGATCTATCATATGAAGAAGGAATGAGAGTTAGTGGGGGGAGGGGAGTACACATAGAAAATCACATACCATAAACATAGCTAAGTAAAAATTTAATGTGCTTACAAAAATTCCTGTGAGAAAGTTAATCAATGGTATCTTTATTAACCCATTTATTTTGAGAAGGAATTCAGTCTGCTTCCCTTAACTGTACTCCCTTCTTCACACTAGGAAAGCAAAAATGCCAGTCTCCAAACACTAACAGCACTTGGAGCCATCAGTCTAGAAAACTGAGCCCAAACACAGGTCCCATATTCCTTACAGTAACTTAGGAAAAGAAAAATCAACAATCAGAATAACTTCTCTTTTGCATAGACATACTGAGTAAGGTTGGGTACAACTATACCCAATAGAAAAGTCATTCAGGCATAGATCTAGGCCTAAATTACAAACAGAGTAAGTGAAATAATCAGATTTCAAATAAGAAGTTTTGGTATGCAACCATCTCAAATATTTTATTTAAAAAAAAAAATCTTCCGGGGCCGGGCACAGTGGCTCATGCCTGTAATCCCAGCACTTTGGGAGGCTGAGGCGGACAGATCACCTCAGGTCAGGAGTTTGAGACCAGCCTGACCAACATGGAGAAACTCTGT